CACGGGGTCTGATCACAGTATGCGACGCTGGAAGATGCGAGTGCAACCTTGCCATCAGAACAGGGGATTTCTCCAAGAAGAGCCTTGAGCAGGGTAGACTTGCCGCATCCAGACGGTCCAATGAGAACAGTAAAGCTACCTTGGGGGATGATCATGGTGATGTCCGTGAGAATTGGATCCTTCTCCGCTTCCCATCCAAAGCTCCCACTTTGGACAACGACAGCATTTGAAGAAGGAAGAGCACTGGAGCGCTTGAGCGACTCGACAGAGTCTGAGTTAATGGAAGACAGGTCAAGGTCGTTAGCCTTCAACAGCACAGGCTTTTCAGCGAGATCATCGAGGAGCAAAGTCTCCGACGAGCTATTCCTGCGATCGGCGTGGTCCTCTTTATCCAAGAACTGTTGAATGCGCTGGAAAGATCCAACTGCACCAGCGAAAGACATAAGTGCCATGACCAAGCTCAAGAGAGGGTCTGCCAGAAGTGAGAACAGAGACAGAGATGTGAAAGCCCGGGAGACGCTCAAAGGATCACTTGAGATACCGACATAAACACCGAAGGTGAAGATTGGGGCAAAAACGCGAGTCAACCAGGCAAACGCCATGTTGTAAACCAGAAGGGTACGGAACTTCTTGGAGATATCCAGCTCGCTGATTCGGAGACCATGAACGAACTTCATCAAGGAATCCTGCAACCCAAGCATCTTGACTCCCTTGATCGATCCAAGCATCCCGGAAGTAGAGGAAATTCGCTTCTCGATAGCTTCCAGCCACCTGGCTTGGTGTGTGACAACAAAGGACATGCCGACCAACGATCCGACCAGAGCAAACAGAGCGACGCAAACAGGAACAACGCAGGAAATCCCGAGTTGAACCTTCAGAAGATATATAGCCAAAGCGATTTCAATCGAGTTCGCCCAGATCTCATGCATGGTCGACCATCCCTGTGTGATGCGCTCAACATCTGCGCTCATTAAAGTGAGCGAATTTGCGGGATCAGTCTCCCCGAGACCCAGACAGGTGGCTTTCTTGTATAGCATTGTAACCAGAACACCACGAACCATGGTAATCCCACGGTAGGTGAGATGCTGATACTGGCCCATTGAAACTCCCAGTCCGGCGTAAACCATGATATAGGCGCCAATGAGTCCGTATCCGATGTTTTGGGTACCCTTGTTGACGGGCGAATTAAAGAAAGAGAGCGATCTCTCCAGGAGCAAAGGCTGGCAGAAGTTAAAGGCCACAACGCAAGCTCTGGCAGGGACACCTGCAAGCAGAGGCCATTTCACAGCCTTGATTGACTCCCATTGGAGAGTATTCGGCGATTTAGTTGTCACTGAATAAATGTTAGTAAACAGTCAGAAACAGGGCATATCACCGGGAGAGGTAGCTACCTTTGCTCCATTTCTCATCAAATCGAGCCAACAAGCGCTCAGAGCTCAGTTCTTTATCCAATGAAAAGAGATCCTCTACACGCAGGACTCCGGTGAAACCGATCTTAAACAGTGGGTTCAGCCACCAGAACACAGCGCGGTTATAGAAACCTGCAGTCGCTTCTGGAGGATAACCAGCGTATTCCGATTTGAGAATATGTCTTTTCTCCACAGCCTCAAGCACAAGCAGAAGTAGTTTGACACCCACCGCTACCGTAGCGACAATGGCCAGTATATTATTAAAGCTGTCCACACTGCGTAGCCATAGAGTTCTAGACCGTGCAATGTCGAAAAGCATGCTGCAGAAGAGATAGGTGTTCAAAATGAAGGAGGGTCGCACAGACCGCATGTGCTCTGCATATGAAAGCAGAACGAGAGCGAGCACACCGATTGTCAAGAGCACATTGGACGGAACCGAGACCTTGGTGCTGTCGGCTGCCGGAAGGGCCCATAGGGCTGTTTGTGCAATTTGAAGACCTAGTAGGCCCAACCAAGCTCCCTGTTCACACATGGTTATTAGATAACAGTTCCCAAGGTTGGATAGGCCACGACTTCCAAAGACGACGGGGTTCGCGGGGTTGCTTGCGAATTGCATAAAGCAGATTATCGCAACACAGTCAACTTACAAGCTTCACAAGGACCAGCCATGATCCCACAACTTTGTTTCGGTTTTGTGAGAGTTGCCACAGACGAACAGGAATAATGATTAGCATTAATACAATAGGTAAAATCTCGAGGATGGTCTCCTCAAACAAAAGAGAGAAATCGAATCCTCCCCGACATGGCCCAGCGTCAATACGGAGGGTATTATCTAGAACGTGGCACGAAGGCCCTGAAGAATGAGGGGATGTCATGTCTGTTCCTTGAACCACCTGGCGACAGAAGGATGGTTGAAGAAAAGAAAGACGGCAAACGAGTGGCACGGGGAATTAGAATTCAAAAGAGTGTATGGTTGAAAAGAACTTGCATTAGCTCGGGGAAGTTGCGGCTTTTTGGTCTAGATCAGATGCATCAGAAAGTGACATAAGTATAGCCACCTTGACTACTAAGACATCATAAGAAGAGGTACATAGGGCCAATCGAGGTTCGTATCCCTCTAGACAGGAGTTTATTACATCTAGGAGAACTACAACCCTGAGTTCACCCTTATGGCTCTGTTACTGGTTAGCTGCATCAAAGTGGGCATGAATACAATACTTGATGCAACCATCTTACACAGCTATTACTGGCAATGCCCTGTGAGCTCATCTAGGCTCGGGCTAGGTGTGTATGGATCCAGTCAGCTGCATCTATTTTGGTTTGTTTTCTTCTTTTTTAGGATATTCCTTTTTTCTTTCTTTTTTTTTCTGTTTCGTTTTTCTATAAGACCTTGGAGATTGCGCAGTAATTTCATGACTCCACTTCAGTCATCAATAGTGGTCCTGATTCTCAAGTCAATATGCGGCATAGGTACCTTTCCCCCCTTGGGGACGTGGGGGATGAAAGTGGCATCACTAGACCCGTTCACCCCTGGAGCCAAGGAAACCATGGAGTAAATCCCGAGCAACACGAGGGAATTGTGTTACCTTGCAGGAATAAAATAACTAGAGTCCAATGAGTCCAAACGACCTCCAATGAGTTGCGATGGCGAATGTTGAGTGCATATGGCCCAAGTTCTGTGGGGACTTAGGGCAAAGGAATAACTTTCCCCTCATGTGAGGGAGGAAAGCCTCCATCTGTATGATGGAAGATCTGCCGCGTTGGGCTTAAAACATTACTTTTTGAATTTAATTTAATATAACGTAATTAAATTAAATTCTTATTCTTACTCTTCAAAACTCACATTACCTGTTCATATTTATAACTATATTCTATATATTTCTTATAAACTCTACTTGACCGTAGAAGCTGAAGTCAGACGCGGTGAAGCAAATCGCTTGGATGTTCCACATTCGAAGAAAAAAATGTAACGAATGAGATATAGATTCCAACCGGTTTCTGCTCGTTCTCGTTGCGATTATAATTGCCCAAAATGGAATCTCCAAATCTCCAATTCCACCTGTCATGGCATTTTCTTTTCTTTTTCGCTTCTATTGACTCGGTAGTGGCAGTGGGGATTCACAATTCGATTCATCCGGGCCAATCGTTCCTTTTGACTAAACTGTTAGCTATGGTCCACACTGAATCCTTTCGGAGTTTTCGGTTGTTGTTGGTCTTCCTGGTTTCAATCCTGGCCGCCAATCCTGAAATTCTGCATATTCTAAGACGTGTTGTGGTTCGCGTGGCGGTCGCTGGGCCAATCTGCATGAGTCGGGATCTGTACCTACAGCTATAGTGCCTGACGAACAACCGTGATGGAGCCGAACTGACTAGGGTCAGCCGGTTTTTTCTCTTTCTTTCCCACCCACCTCTTTGTCTTAGAATTAGAAGCGTGCTCGATGTGTGGCAAATCCTGTGCATAATGATCTCCACCGATGTACATTTGTGCTCACATGTGCAGTTGATTTCAAATTATTCTGCGGAGAAACATTTCGGTGTTTTGTATATTGTGTACATTTTGTGCTCTCGTATGCCTATAACTACTTTGAAAATGGGAATGTATTTTACTCTAGCTTTAGAAGCTCCAAGTGTGTCGAAATTATAAAGTGATCTATCCGGTGATCGACAAGGAGATCAACCTGTCAAGTTTGTGCATTGTTGACAATCGACCCCGAACTCCGGACGCTAGTTTAGCCCGTCAGGTTAGCCGTCATAAGTGTCAACGAGTTTGTGCGTCTCTTTTGGTGCCTAAGCCCAGTAATGTCGGCCTTGCTGTGTGGATCTCTAGACAATCTAACCTCCTTATAGGTACATCGTATATGCACTTACTTAACTTCACATCACGTCTTCACTAGTAAGAATAGTGGACATATACAGAGGTACGTTCCCGATTCGTACTTATACGAAAACGATAAATTCAAGAGAAAAAAAAAAAAAAAAAACGTGAGGAAGAAAAAGCAAAGCACATACTGCACCACATGAACTCATGTTTTTGATGCGACTGGATATAATCATGGAAACTGTAACCGACATTCTCACCTTTTGCTTGAATTTATAAAACCCAAATTCTCTACTAAGGTATCGAGCTATTGAAGGTGTGGATGTGACTAATATATAAATAAACGCCAAGTGGATAGATAGGTCGCCGGGTTCGGTTACGCCCGCATCCCTTGGTGGCCCTTGCAGAGCGATCCTTAGCGTACTGTGTGTCTTACATATTAGATTACATAGGTACTCCGTACTGTGTGAAAATTTCTATAACTAGGTTAAATTTCATTTCTGATATCGAATCATGCCTTGGATCCAATAGGATTTCATTTTAAACCGAACATTCCTCCGAAGCTAGTCATATCTACCCCTGTATCTTCGGATTTATGGACCGGGAGATCCGAAGTATGAAGGGCGTGATAACATCAGCTCGGGGAGTTCTCCCCCACAACCCGCCTTTCTTTTTGAGTTTTCGCTTGCCTCCTGAATAACATCATATACCTCAGAAAGGCACCTAAGACACGATCGTGTCAGATCCTAGCAAATTAACTTTTCTCATCGCGATCACCAGACGGGATCCGCCACCACTACACCCTCGCTGCCGTAGTGCCTGAACTGCACGGTAAATCCTAGTCCGACCCGTCTTAGTTCGCCACACTTTACTGATGCCGACCGTAGCTGTCGGATCTGTATGCCATGCGCTCCCATCAGCAGAGCTCCAAGAGTAGAGGTGAGCTGGGAGCAAGTAGAGTCCGGGGTCAGTGCCATGTGTGCATCTGTCGGTGTACACCGTAAAGTATGACAGCCTCACGAGGCTCGTATACCTGACGCGATGCTCGATGCATCAGAGAGGCAAAACCCTATATCTGCAGTATGAAGTGAGGGTATGGGGTATGATCCCCTGTGGGCATGTACCTGTTCGCGAGCTTGCAATAAGCGGGCTTGACACGGCCAGCAAAGCCAGTAACGTCAGAATTGAAACCTCGTGAGCTCGAGGGGTAACGCCATTCAAACTAAACGTGATTCGAGGCTGAAAAGCCTCATGCCCTTGCCGGGGTGCTCTGAACCGCCACCATGCCCACGTTCCAGACCGCAAGGGTTCCTGATCGGGGGAATTGCATCTCGCTTGGAAGAGCAGTGCTCCGGGGTTTAGTCCGGAGTACATCGAGAGAGAGAAGGGACGATTCCCCTGCATGATGACCTTTTGGTACTAGTTCGAGTAAGCTAGTCTACTTCCAAGGGTTACCTTGGTCCAAAATAAAAAATAGGAAACTTGATGTAGCAATTCTATCGGAAATAAAAAAAGAAAAAAAAAAGAAAAAAACCAGAAAAGTAGAAAAGTAGAAAAAGTGTCTTGAGTTGGTTCCACAGGGCGGGCCAAGTACACCTGATCCACGTATGGTTTCTCTCCCTCCCTCTCCCTTCCATCTAGATCCCATGCAAGGAATATGGCGCCTATTACTGGATTTTGGAGAAGTGCGGCCCATGCAGTCTCCGGCCGGACGTACCTATGTTCGAGGTGTTTAGCAAATAATACTTTTTTTAAAAAAAAAAAAAAAAAAAAACTTGTGCTTAGTTTCTTTAAAATAAGACGAGACCGTCCGAGTTCGCGAGCGCTCTTGACTGTCGAATTCACACTGTCGTTCATTTTCCATACCTCAGGCCCATACATATCTTCATCGACTGGAAAACAGGAAACGAAACACAGGACTAGCCTGGTAATACCTAGCCATTAGACGCCATGGCTCAATCCACCAAGTGCTATCTTCCCCGGTTCGCTTCGACGGTTGACGGGACTAAACGCCCAGTCTCGATGAAGACCAGACCCACGGCCGCTCAACATGCGCAGTTACTAACCGCATGGAACGAAGGCCGTCTAGACCCAATGCTTCGAGCCACTTGGGCTCTCTTGTTGCATTACTATCTGCGCTCGGAGGATATTTGCTTTGGTTACCAACATCTTGCGGGCGACTCGCGCTCTCCCAAATCATCTGTACAGCGTTCGACCGACGTCAACATTTCGACGATCCGTATATCCATCAACGACAATGACTCTCTCACAGCAATTGTAGATAAGGTGCGCGCAAACAGTGCGAATCGCCAGGCGAATGGAAGCTCGGACGCTGCTTCCGAGGCATACCTTCCTTTCAACACCATCTTCATGCTACGCACATATGACCCGCCTGCTTCTCCCTCAAAACCTATTTTGGCCACAGCTCTTCCAGACAAGGTTAGTATAGTCTGTCATGAATGGGAGATTGGGTTTCTGCCTTTAGAGAAGAATGGAGTAGGCTAACGATTCGTAGTGCCAAGTCCGCCTTCATGTTAAGGTGCTGCGTGGAGACATCAGCATCTTCCTGGAATGGAGAAAGGGTGATATGTCTGGGGAACAGATGAAGAGTATCGCAAGCATTTTTGAGCAGTTGCTTGCCAAGGTCCTTTCTGCTGAGAACACCGCTATTAGCCAGCTTAATCTGTTCTCGGAGAACGACTGGCAACGCATCCGCAAGTGGAACTCCACCTCTCCACAACTCCACGATCGCTGCATTCACGAAGCCATCCACGATCAGATGTTGAGTGGACCCGACCGTGAGGCTGTGTGTGCGTGGGATGGAAGTTTGACGTTCGCCCAGTTGGATCACCAAGCGTCGAAGCTTGCATATTATCTTCGCATGCAGGGAGTCGGACCGGAAGTTCGCGTGGCTTTGTGTTTCGATAAATCGGTGAGTGGGATACTTTGTCATCAATTAATACCCCAATATCCCGTAAGTTGTGTATACTGACTCCACAGAAATGGAACATTGTCGCAATGCTTGGCGTTATGAAAGCCGGGGGAGCCTTCGTCCCATTGGACCCGACTCACCCAACTTCCCGACACCAAGCTCTCATCCAATCGGTCCAGGCACCGGTTGTGTTGTGCTCTCAGCATCTGGCCGATAAACTTCGGCCCATCGTCAACACTTTAATACCTCTCTCTGCTGAGACTCTAGATCCTCTGTCTGACCCCGCTGACAATGTCAATCTTGCATCAGGCGTCACCAGTCAAAATGCGGCTTATGTTCTGTTTACCTCTGGATCAACAGGAGAACCCAAGGTGAGTCTTGTATAAATATTAGAATATATAATTTTTTCTGCAATTGCTGACTCATGTTCTGTAGGGCACCCTGTTGGAGCACCGCGCGTTCCTGTCGGGGGCAATTGTGCATGGACCCGGTTTGCACATTTATCGCGAGTCGCGATGCCTTCAATTCGCCGCCCACACCTTCGATGCCAGTTTGGCCGAGTCGCTGACGCCGCTCATTCATGGTGCGTGTGTCTGTATCCCGAGCGAGGAAGCTCGACTCAACGATATCGTGACAACCATCAACGAGATGCGAGTCACCCAAGCCTGCTTCACGCCCTCATTCATCGGCTTTATTGAAATCGAGAGTGTTCCAGGACTGGAGAGTTTAGTTCTGGCCGGGGAGGCAATGTCGCAGTCACAGCTGGCTACCTGGTCCAAAATAAAACTAGTCAATGGTTATGGGCCTACCGAGGCCAGCGTGGCATCCGTGCTGAATTCCAATGTTACACCTGACACCGATTGTAAAGATATCGGGCTTCCTATTGGTGTGAGAACTTGGCTTGTGAACCCTGATAACCACGATGAACTGGTGCCCGTGGGCTGCCCTGGAGAACTACTTTTGGAAGGCCCACCCCTGGCTCGGTGCTACGTGAATAATCCACAAAAGACAAACGAATCGTTCATCTACGACCCTGCTTGGACTAAGTTGGAGCCTGAAAGTGGTTCTAACCGTAGATTCTACAAGACGGGTGATCTCGTCAGGTACAACTCCGACACTGGTGCGTTGAATTACATCGGTCGCAAGGATACGCAGGTCAAGGTTCACGGACAACGAATCGAGCTCGGCGAAATTGAGAATCAGCTGAGCAAAGATCTGAACGTCACTCATTGCTCCGTCTTCTTCCCCAAGACAGGTTTCTCCAAAGGACGGCTGGCGGCAGTTGTCTCTTCTACCGGCCTGCTTGCGGAACAGTCGGATTCGGACTTGGAGCCTCTACGACTCGTCTCAACCTCGAAAAAGGCCGAGCTTGTCCCTGGAATCCGAGAGCGTCTCTCAGCTCGTCTCCCCACTTATATGGTCCCTGCAGTTTGGTTGTGCGTTGAAGCCCTGCCACTCCTGCCATCAGGGAAACTAGACCGCAAGGGTATTTCCACTTGGGTTGCAGGTATGGAGAACGACCCAGATCTTCAAAACAATGCCTCTGTTGCAACCGTCGGCACAGAGGCTTCCCAGCCCGCCAACGACAGAGAGGAAGCTTTAGCTGCTGTATATAGCCGTGTCCTCAACATCCCCCAGAACCAGCTCGATTTGAACGAGGGCTTCCTCGCCCTCGGTGGTGATTCGATCGCAGCTATGACATGTGTAGGTCTTTGCAAGAAGCGTGGGTTTTCCCTCTCTGTACAGGAGCTGCTGCGCAGCAAATCAATTCGCGAACTCGCAACCCGCGCAAAGACAATCGACCACCTTACGACTTACGAAGAAGCTGTTGATGAACCATTTAGCTTGTCACCCATCCAGACCCTCCACTTTGGTGTACGAAAAGAGGGCCAAGGCCACTTCAATCAAGGAATCCTCACTCGTTTGAACAAACCTGTCGACGAGCCGACCCTCCGCAAGGCCGTTGAAACTCTGGTATCTCGCCACTCTATGCTCCGCGCACGATTCACGAACACAGGATTCGCGACCGCATCCAGTCAACAGATCACTCGGGATATCAAGGGATCTTACAGATGGCGGATGCACACTCTTGGCAGCATGGATGAGGTTAAGATCCATGTCGCCGACAGTCAATCTTCTATTAACTGCTTCTCTGGGCCCTTGCTTGCAGTCGATTATTTCTTGGTGAAAGGACAGCCAAATATCCTGTCCATGACAGCTCACCACTTGGTTGTTGACATTGTCTCGTGGAGAATCATTTTGGAAGATTTGGAAGACATCATCTTAAACCCCGAGAAGACAGGAGCGAGTGACGCCTCCTTGCCTTTCCAGACCTGGTGCCGCCTGCAGAATGAGCACTGCAACACCCTCCGGTCTGAGCATAAAGTTGCAACGGCTGCTCTCGCAATACCCAACTTTGGTTACTGGGGGCTTACGGACACTCAAACCACATATGGTGATGTGGATTGTGCCTCGTTTGAGATTGATCCCGCTCACACCAACGCTATTCTCCTCGAATGTCACAAAGCTCTTGGCACAGAGCCAATTGACCTGTTCCTAGCAGCAATGCTACACTCATTTGGCCGCGCCTTTCCCGACCGTTCTCTTCCAACGATTTACAATGAAGGTCACGGACGAGAAGTCTGGGACCCGTCCATTGATATCTCGCACACCGTCGGCTGGTTCACCATTTTGCACCCAATCTTCTTGTCTGCATACAAGACAGATAACCCCATTGATACCCTCATTCAGGTGAAGGATCTTCGCCGCCGTGTCTCAGACAATGGTCGCGCCGATTTCACCAGCCGGGTTCTGCCAGCCCGGAGCAAACAAAAGTCTGAGCACCCACACCCCTTCGAGATGTCGTTCAACTACGTCGGTCAACATCGCGATCTGCAGCGAAAGGATGGTCTCTTTCAGCTGGTTGACCAGATGGCTGGAGAAGCTGGCCAAGGAGGCGGTGCCGCTGACTTTGGTACTGATACTCCCCGGTTTGGTCTGTTCGAGATCTCTGCGATGGTCGTTGCTGGAAAGGTTCGATTTAACTTCTCCTTCAACAAGTTCATGCAGCACCAGAATCGTATCCATAGATGGGTTTCCCAATGCCAAGAGCTGCTTGTAACTCTCGCTGAGCAGCTTCCTACCCTCGGCCCGCGTTTGACTCTCAGCTCATTCCCCATGCTTTCGTTGACCTACCCTACTTTGGAGAAGTTGCTGAACGATAAGTTGCCTGCTATCGGTATTGACTCCCCAGACCTAGTTGAGGATATCTACCCTTGCTCTCGCATGCAGCAGGGTATCCTCCTTGGTCGCAAGCGTGATAGCTCCTACTACGCTGTCCACGACACCTTTGAGATCAAGGCCACCAGATCTAGCGAGCCGAATCTCGATCGCCTGATTAATGCATGGCAGGAGGTCGTCTCTCATCATGCGATGTTCCGCACCATCTTTGTTGAGAACCTCACTCCTCGTGATCCCTTTTGCCAGGTTGTGCTGAAGACGTATGATGCCACTCCAGTCTTCTTGCAGTCTTCAGGGGAAGATGATGTGCTTGCCACCTTTGACAAGGAAGACCCCAAGGATTACAGCGAGTCCTCGCCAGCGTATCGCTTCACTATTTGCCAGACACCCAGCGGCAGACTGTTTGCGCGCATTGAGATGAGTCACGCTGCGATGGACGGCAACTCGATCTCAATCATCCTCCGTGACTTGCAGCTCGCATACGCTGGCAGACTCGAGGAAAGCCCTCAGCCTTTGTTCAAAGATTATATACAGTACCTTCAGGATGCGCCAAAGGAAGCTAGCATCAACTACTGGCGCTCGTACTTGGATCAAGCCAAGCCATGCCACTTCCCTGCCCTCACTGACGGCCAACAATCGGCCAAAGCCCTTCGCTCCATTCCGGTCAACTTTGGAGCCCTCAATGAACTGCAAACTGTCTGCGAGAAGCGCGGAATCACTCTCGCAAATGTCTTCAATGCCGCGTGGGGCCTCACCCTCTCTGTCTTCTGTGGATCCGACGATGTCTCCTTTAGTTACATGGCATCCCTGCGTGATGTGTCTGCTGACGGTGTCCAGTGGGTTATTGGACCGGTTATCAACCTTCTAGTCTGCCGTATGAAGATTGCAGATGAGGCAAAGCTCAGTGATGTGTTGCATCAAATCCAGAATGACTACGTGGAGAGCCTTGCTTACCGTCACACTTCGCTCATTGATATTCAGCACGCTTTGAAGCTCTCAGACACCAATTTGTTCAATTCCGGTGTCTCCTATCGCCGACTTCCCAGTTCTAAGGATGATGTTAGCAGCGACATCGAGTGTGTTGAGGTTGGCTCAATCCACGATCCCGCTGAGTTCCCGGTTTTCATCAACATCGAGGCAATGGACACTACGGCTCGCATCGACCTCAACTACTGGACCACCAACCTCTCTGATTCACAGGCTGCCAATGTGGCCAATACTTATCTTCGTTGCCTCGAGAACATTGTTTCGAACATTGACGCTCCAATCCGCCAGTTAGACAACCTGAGCGACGAAAACCGAACCCAGATCATGGCGTGGAACACCAAGACTCCCAAGCCCTTTGAGAAATGCGCTCATTACGTTGTCCAAGAGATGGCAAAGAAGCGCCCTGATGCATTGGCCGTCACAGCTTGGGATGGGAACTTGACTTACTCGAAGTTGGATCAATTCTCCTCTCGCTTGGCAAGCTATCTGGTCACCTTCGGTGTCGGTCCTGGAACCCTGATTCCCGTCTGCTTCGAAAAGTCTGTGTGGAACATCGTCTCCACATTAGCAATTATGAAAGCTGGTGGTGGGTGTATTCCAGTTGACACACCTGAGAGTCTCGCTCTTGTTGAGAAGTGGATTGTCGATAATGCCGTGCAGGTCGCGCTGACGGCCCCAGAGAAGGCTCAGCTCCTCGAGGATGTCGTGCCGTACGTCATCCCTGTGAGCGAGTCTCTTCTCGAGTACCTCGCCGATGAGGTTCTTAACCCTGTGACACAATCATCCGACATCGCATTCGTTGCTATGACTGCCGGCACCTCAGGACTGGCTAAGAGTGTTGTCCTTGACCACTCAACTGTCATGACCCGGGCCGAGGCATTCGCTACAACCATGGCAATCGCCGATGTCTCTAGGACTCTGCAGTTCGCATCGCACACATCCGATGCATTTATCTTGGAGGCATTCGGCACTTTCATGTGGGGTGGTTGCATTTGCATTCCGGCTGATATTGACCCCGTCAACTTAGCTGCCTCTATCAATGCATTCCATGTTAATGTTGCTAGCATCACCCCGACAGCTGCAAGCTTCTTCTCCCCAAGGATGTTCCGGGATTGCGATCGATTGCCTTGGGTGGCGAAGTTGTTTCCCAGAGCGTTCTCGACCACTGGCAGAGCGACGACCTCCAACTGCAGGTTTTGTATGGAACATGCGAGAGCTCCGCTGCATCCTTCCACGTGTTCTGCTCCCAAGATGAAAACGAGGCTGCTCTTATTGGAAAGAGCACTTCCTGTGTTTCGTGGGTCGTTGACCCCTCCAACCATCATTGTCTTGTTCCGATCGGCGGTGTTGGGGAACTGGTGCTCGAAGGGCCTGTTCTTGCCCGCAGCTACCTTGACGACCGGTCCGTTGACAGCGAAGAATTCTTTGACAACGCTTCTTGGCTTTCTGAACAACGAGATGTGGGTAAAAACCGACTTTTCAAGACCGGGGATCTTGTTCGGTACAAATCCGATGGCTCTCTCGTTTTTGTCGGTCGCAAGAACGATAAAAAAGAATCCGGCCTAGCTAGCGAGCTTATTCAGACTCAGGCGCGCATCGATTCCTTCCTGGACAACAAGAGGAAGTGCGTTGTGGACAGCATCCAGCTGCTACGCGATAATGTGAAGACCAATGCTCTTGTTGCTTTCGTGGTTTCTTCAGACACCAACCTCGTCACTTTTGGAGATCGCGTCCTCCAATCCGCCACTCCTAAACTGAAAGACGCCATTTCTAGCCTGCACGCCAATCTGAGTACCAGCCTTCCTGGTAGCAAGGTTCCGAGTTTCTACATCCCCATTTCCTCCCTCCCCTTGACCCTATGTGGAAAGCTAAACCGCCAGGCTCTCAAATCTGAAACACAAGCGCTTTCAAACAGTGCCCTCCAGGCTTTCGACATCAAGCGTTGGAACGGATCCAAGGCTGGTAACCGGGTTTCTCGGCATGCCAGTCTATCCGAGGCCAACGCCACTTTCTGGAAGGAGTATCTTGCTGATGTGGAGCCATGTGTTTTCCCTGCCCTCTCCCATGAGGCAAGCGACAATGGACGCTCCACCCGCACCCTCAACAAGCAGACAGCCAACATCCACGCCTTCAGCAGATTGTCTGGCATCCCTGCGGAAATTATCTTCCAGTTTGCCTGGGCCATTGTCCTCCGGTGGTACACCGGCTCAGACGATGTTTGCTTTGGGTATTCTGCCTCCCCTTCGGAGACAAAATTGGAGTCCGCTGGCATTGCCATCTGCCGCTTCCTCGTGCAGAATGAGCAAAACGTTCAGGATACCCTCCAAAAAGCAAAAAGGGACTCCGAGAGCAGTGTATCGAACGTCGCTGACTTGGACGCCGTTAAACACCAGCTTGGACTTGATGACACAATGCTTTTCAACACATCCCTGATTTATTGCACGGCTTCTAATCTCCCCAAAGGAGCTACCCATGACCCAAGCATCTGTAGTGCTCAAAAGATCTTGGTTGAAGCTGAAGTCTCCCATTCACACGCCCAGATCCACTTCAACTACTCTCCTGAAACCCTTTCCTCCTTCCAGGTCAACCATATCATGGATATGTTTGACCAAGTTTTGGATGATCTGATTACCCACAACGTCCGTGAACGTACCGTCGGGGACCTCAATGTATTCCCCGAGCGGTCAGTTCGCCAAATCCGCGATTGGAATGCCGCATCCCCTCCTAGAGTAGAGAAGTGTGCCGACGAGCTCATTCAGCAGCAGGCACTTCTTCACCCCCGTGCAGAAGCCGTCTGCTCTTGGGACAAGAATTTTACCTACGGGCAGCTTGAGATTGTCTCCAGCCGCTTAGGCCGCCATCTCTCCAGTCTTGGAATCAAGCCGGAAGCCTTCGTGGTGCTGTGCTTTGAGAAGTCAGCCTGGGCTGTTGTTGCTCAGCTGGCTGTTCTCAAGGCCGGTGGAGCTTTCGTCTCGATTGATCCATCCCACCCCGACTCTAGACTGAAGATGCTCATCGATGAAATTGGTGCTAGCCTTGTTCTGTGCTCATCTTCGGTCCACACCAAAGTGTCGAAGCTTTGCGCGAAATCGTTCGCTGTCTGCCAGACTTCAATCTCCCAGCTTTCTGATTCACCTTTGGCTTTGGCTGGTCTTCGTCCTACCCCGGACAATGCTGCATATGCTGTCTTTACGTCTGGTACTACTGGAAAACCGAAGGCAACTGTTGTAGAGCATACCGGCCTCAGCACTACCGCGATTGCTATGATTGATTCCCTCCACATGAACTCCACAACCCGTGCTTTGCAATTCTCTAACTACACCTTCGACGTCAGCATCTTCGAGATCATGATGACTCTTATGACTGGTGGTTGTGTCTGTATCCCCAGCGAGGAGGAACGCATGAACAACTTGGGTGGTGCCATTCGCCGTATGGAAGCCACCAACATCTCGGCACCTCCTGCCATTGTCAACACCCTAGAGCCGAAGAACGTTCCTACTCTCAAGGTCATTATCACAGGAGGCGAGAAGATGCCCGCCAACCACATTGACCGCTGGGCAGACCGGTGCGTCATTAATTCCTATGGTCCCTCCGAGGCCACTGTGATTGCCACAGTTGGTGTCAAGGTTGATTGGGATGGCAACCGTGTCAATGATGATCCCACATCCATTGGAACATCTTCAAACTGCAGAATCTGGATTGTGGATCCGAGTAACTCCAACCGCCTTCTGCCAGTTGGCGCTGTCGGCGAACTGGTTATTGAAGGAAGTAACATTGCACGTGGATACCTTGCTAATGAGGAAAAGACCAAGGCCGCCTTCTTCAAGAACCCTACTTGGAACCGTCACGCTGGCTTGCAGGGCGTGTTCAAGCGAAATGATCGCATGTACCGTACTGGCGATCTGGTTCGGTACAACAACGATGGCAGCCTGGCCTTCATCTCCCGCAAAGACACTCAGATCAAGTTCAATGGCCAGCGAATTGAACTCGAGGAGATCGAACAACAATGTTTGCGCTGCCTACCCGAGGACTCTCAGGTGGCTGTTGATGTTGTTGTCCCAGAGGAACGCACCATTGCCAAGGGCCTCGCCGCATTCTTCACTGTCCACGACCCAGATTCCAACGGGGGGAGCAGCGATCAATTCGCCTCCACAATTCCTGGGGCGGATCCACTTTTACTGCCCATCTCTATGTCGAACATGGATGCTATTCAGAAGTTGAAGGGTTCTTTGCCTGAGCTTCTGCCTCAGAGCATGATGCCCCGGCTCTTCTTCCCTATCCGCAACTTGCCTTTTACTTCCTCGGGAAAGATCGACCGCCGAAGACTGCGGGCTATGGTCCAGACCTTGTCCAAGGAGACTCTCAAGTCTTACATTACCTTCAACACCTCCGACAAAAGGGAGGCTTTCCTGGCCACCGGCCTAGAGAGTCAGCTTGTAGCCCTCGTGGAAAAGACACTAGAACTTGAAGCTGGCTCTGTGACCGCCGATGACAGCTTCTTTGGTCTAGGTGGTGATTCCTTGTCCGCCATGAACCTCGTCGGTGCTGCTCAAGCAGAAGGCATCGCACTTACTGTCTCGAGCATCTTCAACTCCCCAATTTTGATTGACATGGCCCAGAGCTGTGTCGTGTCTGATGCAGCTTCTGAAGTTAAGAAAGACAACATCAAGGCGTTCTCCCTGCTGCCGTCTGGGGTCTCCCTCGAAAGCGTGATGGATGAAGTTACCGACAACTGCGAAGTATCCAGGGACCTCATCACCGATATCTACCCCTGCAGTGCTGTGCAGGAGGGTCTTCTGACGCTTTCTATTAAGCACAATGGTGCTTATGTTGCTCAGCCCTCGTTCCGCCTTGCTCCTGGCATAGATGTCGGTAAATTCAAACAGGCTTGGCAACAAACCGTGACTGAGTTGGAAATTCTTCGCACTCGCATTGTCCACACCGAGACTATGAATTTTGCTCAAGTTGTCCTGAAGGATGATCCCATATCCTGGGTCGAAGCAGAGTCGTTTGACGCTTTGCCCAACGACTTCCTCCATCTCCCTAAGCAAAATGGAGCACCTCTCACTGGTTACGCTATGGTGCAGCCTCGTGGCTCTTCTGATAGCTACTTTGTTTGGTCTGTTCACCACGCCCTTTATGATGGCTGGAGTATTCCTTTGGTATTCCGCAAGGTCGAAGAGAACTACTTTGTCTCCCAGACCAAGCGTGCTGGCACACCGTATAGTCTGTTTATCGACTACCTAGTTAAGAAGGACATGGAGGAGTCTGACGCTTTCTGGAAGTCTTATTTGGCCGACCTTTCCAGCACTCCTTTCCCTTACAACAAGAATGCAGTGCCTGATGCCATGCGTGCTGGCAACACCCAGCACCATACCATGAAGGTTTCCCGTTCCCGCAACACCGTCGACTTTACGATTCCTGTCCTCATGCGCGCTGCATGGGCGATCGTCATCGCGACACACACTGCATCTGGTGATGTGTGCTTTGGCGAGACTTTGTCGGGCAGAAACATCGATCTTCCAGGTGTTGCAGATATTGCTGGTCCTGTTTTGACCACTGTCCCCACCCGTGTCCAGGTGAACAACGCCGCCTCGACTATGGAGTACTTACAGAAGATCCACCAGTCTACCACTGAGATGATCCCACACTTGCACTCTGGTTTGCAACGTATCCGGCTACTGAACAAGGATACCGCCACAGGTTGCGATTTCAAGAACCTGCTCGTGATCCAGCCAGGCGATGGGGAGCTCGACAACAAGATCTGGATCGATGAGAAACGTGAAACCAGCGAAGACTTCTTCACCCACCCCCTTGTCATCGAATGTGGTGTCACCAAGACCAACATCTCTTTTACTGTTCACCACGATGAGCTGGTAATCAACGGATGGCAGGCTAAGCGCATCACTGAACAATTTGCACATGTTCTGCTGCAATTGATTGCCCTGCCAAAGAACAGCACGAGCAAGGTCGGAGACCTGGAGGTGATCAGCCCCGAAGACAAAGCTGAAATTGGTACATGGAATGAACGTATTCCGCTCACGGTGGAACGGACTGTTCAAGATTTCATTCGTGAGAAGTGCGACGAGACTCCGAATGCCCAGGCTGTGTGTGCCTGGGATGGCGACCTCACGTATAGAGAATTCTGGAACCTCGCATCTGGCTTCGCCAACTACCTGATCTCTCGCGGGGTTGGCCCAGAGGTCTTTGTTCCAGTCTGTTTAGACAAGTCGGCTTGGGCAATGGTCACCCTCATCAGTGTTCTCATCGCTGGCGGTGGGTACGTCCCCTTGGATCCCTCCCACCCTACCTCGCGACACGAGGAAATTCTCGCCGACGTCGGTGCCAACATGATACTGTGCACTCCCAACTACACAAACCGCTACAGCCGAGCCGTGAAGACTGTTATCCCCATCAGCAAGGAGACTATCAAGGCCTACGGTGCACTCAAATCATCTGGCCGTCGCCACACTCAAGTCACACCCTCCAATATGGCCTATGCTCTCTTCACCTCTGGCAGCACCGGTCGGGCCAAGGGCATTATCGTCGAGCACCGCAACGTGGTAAGCAGTATCATGGCATTCGCGCCGTGGGTTCGCATGGATGAGACTTCGAGAGTATTCCAATTCGCGTCTCTCACTTTCGATGCTGCTGTTATGGAGACGCTTGCAATTCTCATGCTCGGAGGTACCATCTGTGTTCCAAGCGAAGACGACCGTCTCAATGATGTTGCCGGCGCAATCCGTCGACTAAATGTTACTTGGACTTTCCTCACCCCCTCAATTGCCAGCATCATTGAGCCATCGTCAGTGCCTTCCCTGAAGCACCTCGTTTGTGGTGGTGAGAAGATGTCGAATGAAGTTATCACCAAGTGGGCCAATGCTGTCCACCTCATGAATGGGTACGGACCCACTGAGACCTGTGTCTTTGCAGTGATCGATAATGCGGTCGCCACCAATCGTGATCCAGGCCGCATCGGTTACGGTATTCCCAGCACTCTCACCTGGATTGTTGACCCCGACAACCACGATCGGCTGACTCCCCTGGGCGCAGTCGGCGAACTTGCACTTGAAGGCGCTCCCTTGGCCCGGGAGTACCTCAAGAACCCCGAGAAAAATGCAGAAGCATTCACCACGGACCCTGCGTGGACCAAGGACTTCATCCCCGCAGTCCCGGGGCCTCGCCGAATCTACAAGACTGGCGATCTTTGCTACTACAACCCTGATGGCTCTGTGCAGTACATCAGCCGGAAGGATCACCAGGTCAAATTGCATGGCCAGCGGATGGAGCTTGGTGAGATCGAGCACCGCCTTTCCGAGGATGTGCTTACCCGCCACGCCGTCGTCGTTCTCCCCAAGAACGGCCCACTGAAGCAGCGCCTGGTCACTGTCATGTCTTTGAATAGTGTCACAGCCGACACCAAGCTGATTTCTGACAAGCCCTGCGAGCTAGTTGATGAGGATGAGCTTGAGCGTCATGCTTACAACGAGCTCGTCGAAGTCCAGAAGAATCTTGAGAACCAGCTGCCCATTTACATGGTCCCGCAGACTTGGGCGCTCATCAAGAAGCTTCCCATGCTAGTTTCTGGAAAGCTCGACCGAAAGAAGATCACTGCTTGGGTTGAGGATATTGATGATGAGTCCTATGACCGTATCATGGCGGATTATGATCGCATCAAGCGTGGCAAGACAGAAGAAAAACCACAAGACAAACAAGAGAAGAATGGATCCCTCGACATCGTCCGCGACATCTTTGCGCAGGTGTTGAATATTTCCCTTCAGAAGGTCAATGTCGACCGGTCTTTCGTCAGCTTGGGTAAGTACCAATATGATCATCCCGAATTAATTACCCTACTAACTGGTTCTCACAGGCGGCGACAGCATTACTGGAATGGCTGTCATTTCTCGCGCACGTAAACAGGGACTTGTTCTGACACTGCACGACATCCTTCAGAGCAGGTCAGTGAAGGAACTTGCTCAAACCGCCTGTGCCAAGGCACCTGTCGCTAGACGCGAAGAGAAGTCTGGTGAAGGCTTTGCCCTTTCGCCTGTCCAGAGACTGTACTTCGAGAGCTCGGACTCTTTCAAGGGCGCTGCTCGATTCAACCAGAGCATCACTGTTCGCATCGCTCACCGTTGTGAGGGTGAGGTCCTGAAGCGCGCTCTCAAGGCTGTTATTAGCCAGCATGCCATGTTCCGTGCACGCTTCAGCAAATCTAATGACGGCACCTGGCAACAGAAAACCACAGCGGTAAGCTCACTAAAAAATCTTAGTCAAACATGTTCTAACTCGTACTCACAGGAGGTCGATGAATCTTTCCAATTCCGCGTTCACTCTGTGGGCGACACCCGGGCGATGGTTCCGAAGATTGCTGACAGTCAAAGCTGCCTGGATCCTCTCAATGGACCTATCCTGGCAGCTGATCTGTTTAATCTTCGCACCGGTGGTCAGGTCTTATTCCTCGTCGCTCACCATCTCTGTATTGATATGGTATCATGGCGCATCGTGCTCCAGGACCTCGAAGAGCTCGTTGTTTCTGGATCTCTTTCACTCGAAAAGGCATTGTCCTTCCAAAGCTGGTGTGCCATGCAGATCGAGAGAGCCAAGACGCACGATGCGGCTATTGCTCTGCCTTTCACGCCCGAGAAGCCGAACTTGCTTTACTGGGGCATGCAAAACTCACCCAACGTGTATGGAGATATCAAGATGGAATCGTTCACGTTGAGCGAGGATACTACCCAATTTATCATGGATGACTGCCACAATGTCTTCCGGACTGACACTGTTGACATCCTGCTGTCTGCTATCGTCCATTCCTTCGGTCGCACCTTCACCGACCGCAAGGTCCCAACTATCTACAACGAAGGACACGGCAGAGAACCCTGGGAAGCCGACATTGATCTTTCCCGAACAGTGGGCTGGTTTACCACCATGACACCTTTGCTAGTGGATTCCGAAGCTCGTAAGTTCACCTTGCCTCATCTTGCCAACAGAAAGCTAATACAAAAAGGTACCCTAAACGACATTATCAAGCGTGTCAAGGACACCAGGCGCAAGATTGCAGACAATGGACGTCCTTACTTCGCCAAAAGCCTGCTTCAGGACCAGGCGGCTGATTTCCCTGTCCCGCTGGAAATCCTCTTCAACTACCTGGGTAAAATGCAGCAGCTTGAGCGAGCTGATTCGTTGTTCCATCACCATGGTAGCGTCTTTGACAGCTCAGACTTTGCTGTCGCAGGCGACATGGGCCCCCAGACTGCTCGTTTCGCCCTCTTCGAAGTATCTGCTATTGTCATTAAAGACCGCCTCAATGTTGCTTTCACCTACAACAACAAAATGCAGCATGAGGGCTCAATCCGCCGCTGGATTCTGCAGTGCAAGCATACTCTGGAGAAGGATATCCTCACACTGAAAACGGCTACTCCTGAGCCCACTCTCAGCGACTACCCCCTCCTCCCAATCAACTATCATGGCCTCCAGATGCTCACCGCCAGCACCTTCCGCAAGGCCGGAATTCGGAGCAAGGATGACGTCGAGGACATCTATCCCTGCTCTCCCATGCAGGAGGGTCTCTTGCTCAGCCAGCTCCGCGATCCCAATGCCTACATGTTCCATACTGTGTTTGAGATCAAGGATGCCAAATCTGGCAAGGTTGACGCCGAAGGAGTCGCCCGAGCCTGGCAAGCCCTCGTCGACCGTCACCCAGTACTGCGGACTATTTTCGTCGACAGTAACTACACTGGTGGATCCTTCGATCAACTAGTGCTCAAGAACCTTTCTGACAATATCCTCCGCGTGGAATGCCAAGACTCACAGGTTGAGGAGAAGTTGTCTTCCATATCCCTTCGTGACAGGAACGCGATGCGCCAATCAAAGCTTTCTCACCAACTGACTGTCTGCAAGACAAATACCGGACGTGTCATCCTAAAGCTGGAGATTAACCATGCCATTATCGATGGTGGCTCGGTTGATGTACTCCTCCGTGACCTGACTCTCGCCTACGAGCGAAAGATCACCGAGGGTTCAGGACCTCGCTTCAGCGACTACATCAAATTTATCAGAACTCAGAGCCAGAGTGATGCTCTCAATCACTGGAAGCAATACCTCGGCGGAGTTCGCCCATGCCACCTCGCTCCATCGGCTGTATTTGAAGCCAAGAGAGAGCTAAAGGGTATTATGATGAACTTCCAGAGATTCCCTGATCTGCTGAAGTTCTGCGAGCGCAGCTCAGTCACTCTCGCCAACTTGACCCTGTCCGCCTGGGCCATAGTCCTGCGACAGTTCACTGGATCCGACGACGTTTGTTTCGGATATCTTTCTGCCGGTCGCGATGCACCTGTCAATGGCATTCAGGACATGGTTGGAATCTTTATTAACATGCTTTGCTGTCGAGTCCAGTTCTCCGATCAGCAGACCTTGACGGATGTGTCGAAGAATGTTCAAGATGCTCATGTTCGATGCATTCCCCACCAAAGCTGCTCCCTGGCCAGTATCCAACACGAGCTTGGTTGGCAAGGACAGTCCCTCTTCAATACTACATTGTCAATCCAGAACCACTCCGTTGCAGGTGGTGCTAAGGACAAGGGATTGTCCTTCGATCTTCAACATGCACACGATCCGAGTGAGGTGAGTATCTGTCCTTCCAATGATTTGTTTCGACTACTAACTGAATTTAGTATGCGGTCACTGTTAACGTTGAGATTGCCCGAGGCCAGGAGGGTATTCTTTTGAGATACTGGAACGATATTGTGTCTGACGAAGAAGCCCAGGCTCTGGCTGACACCATCGCCAAAGTCTTCACTGGCTTCATTGAATCCCCGGCTGCGACGTTGTCGCAGTCCTCATTCGCTTCCCAGGCTGAGCCGGAGTCACTGGATTGGGATCGCTCCCAAACCACACTGGCTGAAAAGGCAAAGTCGACTGGAGAAGCGATTGACAGCAGTGCTATTCAGAAAATTATTGATGAACGTGTTCATGAGATTATTGGTCAGATGTTGAGAGAAGGAAAACTGACGGTGCCTCCTATCCGTACGGAAGGGCTGTCAAACTATGGAGGCCACACTGATACCATACCCGACTCACCGTACCAGTTAGGTATCCAAGAAGCAGATGATTCTGGTGTTTGTTCGGCGACTTCCCGATCCAGTGAGGATGGGATATCGGCCGATATAGAAAGAAAATTGTGGAATCTTTGGAGCACAGCTCTTGGTCTCTCACCCAATGTGGTGAGACATCAGGACAGCTTCTTCAAGTTGGGTGGTGATAGTATCACCGCGATGAAGATGGTCAGTGCCGCTCGCGAAGAGGGCCTGGTCCTTACTGTTGCAGATGTCTTTAACAACCCTGTCTTTGAGGACATGCTGACAACAGTACGCGCCGCGAACGTCACTCAGCAGATGCTGAATGTTGATCTAAAATCTGGCGGTCACAGGGAGGTCGATGGTGACTTGCTCAATATCACCCCGACGACGCTGGGGCCCAGCCCCTCAACTGAGAGCCTCGAGGTTCTCAGGCCATCGTGCATCGATGATGCCGCAGTACAGAGCGGTATCTGTCCTAAGGTCGGAGTCTTCAAGGGTGGTATCGCCGACGTCTTACCTGTCACAGACTTCCAAGCGATGTCTCTGACCGCAAATCTCTTCAAGTCGCGATGGATGCTTAATTACTTCTATCTTGAGGGCAATGGTCCCTTAGACCTGAGACGCCTTCGCGAGAGTTGCTTGAAGGTAGTCGATGCCTTTGACATTCTACGGACAGTTTTTGTGTGCTTCCACGACCAATTCTTCCAGGTCGTGCTGCGCAAGATTCGTCCCAGCATCTTTGTTTATGAGACTGACCGCGCTCTTGATGAATTCACCATGACCCTCCAACAAAGAGATCGGGAATACGGGCCTCGCGAAGGTGAGCAGTACGTGCAGTTCTACGTTGTCAAAAAGAAGGGTAGCGACCAGCACCGGATCTTGGTCCGTCTTTCTCACACTCAATACGATGGAATGTGCTTGCCGAAGATCATGGCTGCCATTAAGCACGGGTATGAAGGCACCCCGCTGCCCCCGGTTACGCCCTTCGCTGGCTACTTGCGACAGTTGCCAGGAACAATCACCCCAGACCATTACCGCCATTGGACCGATCTTCTGAAGGGCTCCCGCATGACCCAAGTCGTCCACAGAAAGGGTACCAGCATGTTCCAGAACGTTGGAGCATTCACCGAGATTCACCGAAAGATTGAGATCTCGCCAACTGCCCTTGGAAATGTTACTATCGCAACTGTCATGCAAGCTGCCTGGGCTCTGGCCCTTGCCAAGCTCACTGCCCAGTCTGATGTGGTCTTTGGTCTCACCATCAGCGGTCGCAACGCCACAGTGCCCGGAATTGAGAACACAGTTGGCCCATGCGTCAATGTCATTCCAGTGCGCGTGAAGCTGGACGAGAAATGGACCGGTGTCGATCTCTTCCGCTACCTCCAAGATCAGCAGGTCTCCAACATGCCTTTCGAGTCTCTGGGCTTCCGCGAGATCATCAAGCAATGTACCGACTGGCCCGACTGGACCTACTTCACTACCTCGGTCTTCCACCAGAACGTCGACTACGAGGGAACCATGGAGCTTGACAGCAACAAGTACCGCATGGGCGGTGTCGGCGTCAATGACAATCTGGCCGATCTCACTATGGTCTCCCGCCCCTCTGGTGAACGTGGCCTCGATGTCACCCTCGGTTACTCCGAAAAGGGACCTGTGATGCCGTTCTTCGCATCCAAGGTTCTCGACATGGCTTGTGAAATTGCGCAGTCACTCCTGGCCAACCCAACAGCGTCTCTGCCTTCAGCGGGCATGCTTCGCTCCCTGCCACCCCAGACAATCGACGACCTGTCTCGACCAACAGATGAGCACTTCCTCAGCGCACACCTCAAGTCACGCTCCATCGCAGAGTTGCTTGTGCATTCCGACATTTTATCTCGCTCGTGGCACCAGGTCCTCCCCAGCCGCCCCACCTCGGCCCCCGTCGACCCAGAAGCTGAAAAGCCTACCCACCAATCCGCCTTCCAGTTGGACTCCTCCTTCTTTGACCTCGGTGGTGATGTATTTAATCTGGCTCAGCTTACCTGGCTTCTTGAGCAAGAGGGTCTCAAGGTCCGCCTTGAGGATCTCATTGAACATCCCTCTTTCCTGGGCCAAATGGCCGTGCTGGCTTTGCATAACGCCAAGCACCAGGATGATATGCCAGCAGAGGTTCTTGCTACTGGTGCTGCACCGCCTGATCCTGTCGCTCGCATCGAAAAGAAGAAGACATGGTCGAAGGCGGCCATGACCATTGCGCGCAAGTTGACTGGGCGAAACACAGTCACCACTCGAGCTTGATATTATGATTATCAAGCTCGAATCCGCGAAGAAAAACAGAGAAAGGTCAAAAAACAAAAAAAAAAAAAAGAAGGAAAACACTCCAAGAAAGTCTCTCTCGTTGGCCGCTTTCTTACGTCTCCATATTCATGTTCCACGATTTGTATTGTTGGTGTCTTCATTATATTCTATGGCTTTGGCATTTTGGTTTCTGGATTGGTTACATACGGCATTAAATCGTCTTTACTTACTATATTCTCTCTTTACATCTTTCTTCCTGTCTACTCTGTTGTTCTTGTGCTTGCTGCTCTTTTTTATACTCTAATAATACGCGGAAACTTGTCTATTGAATATTCTCTACCCCATAGAAAAGTAGCAAAGTAGAACTTGTAGATATAATAGGCTTGTATAAAACAACATGCGTCAATCTGAGTTGGCTGAATCTCGGAGGGTATCGAATGCAAGGGATGGACATGCCACAACGTGCAACCAGGTTGCGATTAAATGTGCGCACCACTCAGCTAATATTAAGTAGCGAAACATGTACAATAAAACCATACAGACCACCCATTTCACGTAATTTTAAACAGAATCCCGAGACCACGTCCCACGCGCTCGGATCCGCTTCCCGAACCTGTAGAACAGATATGGAATGGGAATGAGAGCAACGGAAATGAAGCCCAGCACGCTAGCAGCCCAAGGAACACCAAGATTATGGAACATGGCGCTTGTGAAGAGCGGGAAACAGCCCGCGAAGATAGAGCGCAGGAAAGTGTTTGCAGCGATGGCGCTGGCGGCGTATTTCTGGAATGTATCAATGAGGTAGTTGAGAGCTGCCTGGAAGATCGTGAAAAAGCCGAAGCCCATCATGACCGCACCGATATTCGGGCAGATCCAGTGGAAGTTTTTTGGACTTGTCCAACCGAAGACGAACAGGCCGGCAGCGAAAATTACAGAGCCGAGCATCATGGGCGGGAGTCGGGCTTCAGGGATGGCGCGGTTGTTATTTGCTTTGAAGCGCTTGAGGTAGAATTTCTGATTGGCAAGGTTGATGCCTCCGCCCATTAGTATGCCGACTAGGTAGGCGAGGAAGGGGAGGGCGCCGACAACTTGGTTCCAGCCGCGAATTTCCTGGAAGACAATTGGGAAGGCTGCTAGACTGAGATAGAGGATACCGTAGACGAATGATGCGTAGAGGGCGACGAGGAAGCAGATTGGGGTTCCGAGGAGTTGAAACGGACGGATGAGGTACTTGTTGCCTATCTCTTTGAGGGTCACATCCCACTCTTCATGGCGTGCATGAAGGGCCCAGTTCCCGCTTTCGAAGCGGAGTCGTTGCGCCTTGTATACCAGTAGAACTGGTGGATAGCTCTCGTCGACAAAGAGGACGTCCATTACTAGGAAGAACATCATCATGATACCGGTGATCTTGTAGATATTAGCATGGTGTCAACCTAGGAGACGTGGAAAACTTACATATTCAGTCCAGCGCCATCCCAAATTACTCTGGACAATGGCACCACCTGCGATGGGTCCAATAACAGGTCCGCCCACCACTGCCATGGCATAGCCAACAATAGCAGCTCCACGCTCTTCGGGGGTCCAGATATCACCCAGGACCCCGCCAGTGTTGGTAACAGGGGCGGAGCCGAAGAAGCCCGTAAAGAATCTAGTGATCATGATAGTCTGCACGTCTTTCGCGGTGGCAGTGGCGAAGGAAAAGATGGCCGCGAGAAAATATGGCGGCAAAACTGCCGTTTTGCGTCCATAGAGCTCAGAGAGAGGTGCCCAGAGCAAGGGGCCTAATCCCAAGCCGAATAAGAGTAATGAGGTGCCGAGTGTAGCAACCTCACTCGAGATGCCGAACTCCTCGCTAATCTGCGCCTGACCTGTCGAGTAACTAAGTTTGTAGTCAGTTTAACGAATTTATAACCCGGAACATCAAGTAAGCAAAAATGCACATACATTGAACTCGCCCACGTGGCACCTGCAATTTGATAACGGCGATTAGCGTTCTTCACAATCCATCATTTCCTCGACATTGCCCGAGGACATACCCATAGTAGTTAATCCATACAACACCGTCGTGATAGCCTTCTTCCTGAAACTCCAGTTCAATGGTCTGTAAGGATCATCCGGTCCGTCGAAGTCCACGATAACATCGGGACTTGTCTTGGTGTGGGTGAGCGGATGATTGAATTTCGCCGTCTGGCCGGGCTCTCGACTCCGAATGCGCGAGACTATTGATCGTGTGCGCTGTTCAAAGGCCGAATACCCCGATGCCGCCGTACTTTGCTTTTCCAATCTTGCGATTTCATTTGCCGCGTCGTCGCTGCGATGCGGTTCGATAGATTCGATATCCTCGCTAGATTTGCTGGTGGGATAGTCATGTTCTGTCCGTTCGGCCATTATCACGTACAAGTAAATGGCTGAACTGTGGTCGGCCCAGTGCTAGAGCTGGGTAAGGTGGAATATAGGAGACGAGATACTATGAAGTCGACTAAGTTACAGTGGAAAAGTCCGGGGAAAAATTGAATTTCGGAGATAAGTGGATATGACGGAAGAGGTCCCAAGCCAAGATATTTGGAACCGTAAGGCTGAGAAATACCGGGGTTCTGAAGTTGTTTTTATGTACTTTCGAGATTTTTGTCGGACGTCCGATGGGAAAGCCGTGTGATCCGAGAGCTCCCAAGGTTGCGGACCCTTCCACGTTGCCGATTTCGGGATCCGCACCGAGACATGCCAGTCGAGGACCTGAGTAGGTGGGAGCTCGGCTTTAGTGGCCATGGCGCCGAAAGGCCGACTGCTATAAGTGGAACGACTCCATCTGGGTTTTTTGGAACCAATGAAATTCAAGTTGAAACATTGCCATTCTATGACATGTCGATCGGGGGAAACTAAACTGTAGATGAGGGCTGGGGTTTTGAGGTTGAGCTATACTATCACATGATATCCTTGTGCTGATGGTCCCCGGCAGAGTCTAGGGGCCTAGTATATACAACATACACGGCTGCAGTTACAATCGGAGGTTCCGATTGTAGCCTCCGATCGTAGCTATGATTTTTTAGTCGAATGGTTAAATGCTCTTATGTAATCACTCCGTTGTACCTAGGTAACTAACTAGTTAACTAGTTAAGTAGCGTGAGTTCCCGTGTGGATTACAATGGAAAAGGGAGTAAAAACAGACCTGAAAAAAATAACTTCGTAAAACATCTAACCCTAACATCTACTTGTACTCTATACGTGCATGTTACACAAGGTATCCGGGGCAGCTATGAACAGAGTCGTGCCCAAGGATTGAAACAGACATAATGGCCATTAGATTGTCGGGTGCATGCTCTCCCATTTGTGGACTGCCTCCATCGCGGCAGTAACCTTGAGTCCAACACGAGCATCGAGCTCGTAGCTCTCCCAGCGAGCTGCATGATCAAGGTATTCCTTACACTCGCCTACCTGCTTTCTCTCGGCCTCCGTGATCGTCTCCCCAGATCCCGCGGATGTTTCGTCCGGCGCCTTGGGGGAAGCAGTAATCCCATGGATGGCCTGGTATGTTGGTCGTTCCATCCAGAAGTTAGCGGCCATCTCGAAATGCGCCACTGGGTGGACCCAGTCATCCTTCAGGTGACCTTTGAACACAGACTTGTCGTGGTTCAAGACGCGAGTCTGCAGGATACTTTTCGCCTCGTGGTGTCTGTGCAGTGATCGGAGAATTGCAGCCCGGAGAAGCTCCAGGATCGCCTTTTCTTCGGTCCCCTCGCGAGACCATGTCTTGTTGTTTTTGCTTTCGCACCATTCAAGCCGGGCCAGAGACTCTTCTAGCTGCTCGTTGGTCATGCGACTATGTCCATTCCAGAAGAAGATCATTTCTTCGACGGGGTCAACTCCGATCGCATCCACCAGAGACACGTTCCATTCTTTGGCACGTGCCTCCCATTTGGCAAGCTTCCGAGTCACAAAGACATCGAACGGCAGTTGTCGGGCCATGAATTTCTTCTTCCCGGCGAATTCGGGTGCCTTCCGCATGTACACAGTGGCTTTCTTAGCATGTTCCTCTGCAAGCTTTGGGTCGTTAAGTGATTGCCGGTACAGGGCAACATGGCACGATCCAGCGATGTAGTAATACAATGAACGAGACCACGAGTTGAGGTCCACACACTGAAAGAATTAGCTTGATGGTCCAAAAGTCTCTATAAAAAAAAGTCATACCTCAATGAAAGCCTCAGCGCAGACATCGTAGTTATGGAGGAACAGTGCGTTCAAGCTCTTTTCGAACACGCACAGCGCCTCGACCTGCTTGAGCGGACTCTTCTTGTCCGTGGACAACAGTTCCAGAGCGCTGCCTAAGTCCTTATTCGCGCCTAACATGCGCGATTCTTCGATCAGCCAAAGTTGACTGTTAGGGAACCGAGACCGCATCTCCGCTAGCAACGCAGCCAGCCGCTCCTGAGGGTATCCCTCGACGTCGGTTTCGCCAGGAGTTGGGTCGGGCATAATATCGCAGTAGCGGACAAAGCCATTGTAATATCCTAGCAATGCCAAAGCAGCCATGGCACCGATAAAGTTGTGGAACTTGCTAGCTTGCCAGAGCATTCTCAACCCTCGTTGCTTGTCGCCGTGGAAGCCAATGATGGAAAGAAGCTTGCTGAATGCCGGTGGGACCATGGAGATCAGCAAAAGAAGAATACCAAAGCAGAAGTTGGCACCAGAGTGCACAAAAACATCGATTTCATTCTTGAAGATGTCGGAGTCGGGGTCGTGGTGGATATGCTTCGCAGGTGTAGAAGTGCCCGTTGAGGCATCTGGAGACACCCCTCGGGGTGAGATGGCCAGTCCATTCATGGACGAATTGAGCTCGGCTTGTTCGACTGTAGCCTCTTTTGTGCCGTTGTTCGATAAAAGACTAGACGATTCCGACTTCGTACCTAGGCATGCAACGCTCGATGTTGAGAGGTCACTCGTGCTAGGCAGTAGAACTTTGTGTATATTCCTCTGCTCCATGAACTTCTCTTCCATCTTCATGA